CTCCCTGTAGGTGAGCAGATGAGAAAAAGGAGGAGGAGGAGCAGGTCTCCTCCTCATGATTCATGCCCTTTGAAACTAAGTTGCTGCAGATTTTCTGCTGCTTACGTGATCAGGCTGACTCTCGGCGGAGCCCTGCAGCTCCATTTGTCTATGCTGATTAAATGAAACTAACCCTCCGTGCCACAGAAAGCAGGTGGCGGTGGCGCTCTCGTATCCCTGACATTGAACTACACGGGAAGGTGCTGTAGGCAGCGACACTGATTCAGTGTGTGGGAGGCACATTTCTGCCAAAATCCTGCGCAGATGTAAGCTCTCAGGTTTGATCTGGTCGAGCTGTTTCATATTTTTTCTATTGATCCTTCACAAACGAAGCAATGGTGATCGATCCTGTACCTGACGAGACATTATAAATGATTGTAATTACTATAATAAATCCTCAGGGAACCACGAACAGCTCCACAAGATTTCATAGATGGAAAAAAAGAACTGGGCCACAGCTTTTAATCTTTGAATTTGGATGTTTTAAGGCTCAAAATCTCATCTGGCATTAACATCATCACAGAAACTGCACCAGGAGCTTCGTTGCGTGGGTTTCCATAGGCGTAATGTGCACGTGGTACAGTTCTTGTCTCGATAACTACTGTGGCACTGCTCTGGGAATAAAATAAGACACAAAATTAGGTACAATAACTCCCCTGGGAACCATGAACATCTCACACATGTAATGGTGACTCATCCTTCCTCCTGCAGTGGATTCAAAAATTACAAAAACACCAATAGTTTTTGTTTTATTGCATTAAACAGCTCAACAGGTCTTCGTGGTTCCAAGAGGATGCATCCCACTCGCTCCGGTGTCCTAAATGTGACGACAGAAGTGATGTCTCAGCTGCTTATATAGCCTTGAATATTGCTCCATCCTTGAGGACGGACTGTAGATTAGTTCCTGGTTCTCAGAGGAATTACCACACTGACGTTGGTGTCATGGACTCATTTCTGCGTGTAGTATTGGCACGGTAGCTATGACAGCAGAATCCATAACGCCAACGTGATTATGATCATTCTGTCAGACCTGCCTGGCAAGGCTGCAGTTGGTCCAGAAAGCTGCAGCTCGTCTTCTGACACGTACTAAAGGATGTGAACACATTTCCCCGGTGCTCGCCTCTCTTGATTGGCTCCCTGTCCGCTTCAGAATTAACTTTAAAATTTTATTGTTGACTTACAAATCCCTGAATGGACAGGCTCCCGGGTATTTGTCTGACCTCTTGCAGACTTTAGATCTCTTAGATCAAGTGATCTTTTGCTTTTAGCTGTACCAAGGTCAAGGCTGGTTCATAGAGGCGATCGAGCATTTGCAGTCGTAGCGCCTA